ACAGAAGAAAGGTGGGGGGGGGGGGGGGATCACAAAATTTTACAAAAATTAGAGATTCGGTATCTCTAGGTGCTTTCAGTTCATAAATACTACATCTTAAAATCAACACTTTGCAGTCCATTAACTGCATTTGTAAAATGGATGAGCAGTTTTCTGAAAAGAAAAAGCAAGAATAAAGTAACCGTTGCTCAAAGAAAAGAGAGAACATGCCTTACTGCACATGCAAAAAGAGGAGATGGAATAAAGTCACAGTGTTCAGTCGGAGGCAAAAAAACCCAAGCTTATTCTAGACCATTACTGGAACCAGGAACTGGGCTCCATGCTTCTGTGTAATTATTTTTTTAGGAATAGAAAGGCAGTAACACTAATATTTTTTAAACTACAATACATGATTAAATGCTCTTTGAAGACAGCCAGCAGAGAACAAACAATGCCTTCATATAAATCTATTAACTAAATTCTGAAAATATCCACAGGTCAATGCCATATCCAAAGTCAGCTAAAGCCCAGCTATAAACACGGTTTAGTTTTGCTTTCCGGACACAAGACGACAGATGGGAGTCATACTGAAAACCTGTTGTTTAGTCTCGGTCCGTAAGGGCTGAAGTACACCATTCTCACCCCCTCGTATTTTACAATCAATCAAGATTCCTTTGAGCGACTCAAAGTCATTCAAAATTCTTTCACAGACGATGAAAGCAAGCTGATGGGTGCTGTAACTTTTGCCTTTTACTGCTGAACAAAACAAGTCTGCACAACAGACCTATTATTCTTCATCACTTCCTTTATTAATAATTTAATTTCTGTGACATACTGCAGGCTAGTTTGCTTAGCATTCCTCCTGTGCAAGTGGTCCTCTCTCATCTTCACGAGGGCAAGGGGAGGTAGGTGTGGGGGATTACTATTCTGATTCTCAAAGCGTTCATCAATCTCGGAGATTTTTAATGGATGAGTGTTCTAAAAGTCTGAAGAAAATCAGATCTGAAGACATTAATGGATTAGCTGTTTCTTCAAAATTTACATATACAACAATGGCATAAAAGGCCAACATCACAGTTGTCTGTGCAAATCTGTGCCAAACAACCAAGTCAAAAAAGGGCATTAGACAACAAATACCCTCCTAATGTTAGAAACTTTGTTCCTGGCACAGCTGACGCAGAGCCATATGAAATATTAACAGATTCCACAAAGAGTACATTTTATATGTATTTTCACATCAAAACATCAGCTCTGTCTGCAAGCCGATCGTTTTTTGAGAGGAACTCCTCAGACAGTCTCAGTCTCCTTTAATTCCCCATTGACCCAAAATGAAATACCCTTCGGAAGCAACTCTGTCTCACAACATACAAACAGGACAGAACCGAACCTAAAAGCTCTGTATAGTATGCATATGTTGTCTGAGTATCCACAAAAGTCAAAGAATCCTAGGTTCAGATGCCTTAGAACAACATTTTCAGAAACAATCTGAGGCTTTCAGTAGACCGACTTCTGAAGTTTCTAAGTACCGAAGTTTCAAAGCACCTCACCGAATTGTTGGTCAGTTCTGAAATCTCTGAATGCGCTCTCAAATCCTCCGTTTCAGGCTATCTTGAATTAATCCTTACCACTAATTGTATCCTAACCTGTTCACACCCAACAGGCTTTTACCAGCGGCTGGAGATCATGCAGAAAAAACTGAACTGCTCCTAAATCAGAGCCCTTCTGTTTCAATGTTAGAGATCAAAAAGACGACACGTTTACCTCTCAAGTACAAAGGTAACCTCCTAAGTGCATTCTGCTGCAACAGCTTCCTGAAGTAACTTACTGTTCTCTGGTACATGGATGTAAATATGAACTACCGCATCCAGAATAATACTTTAGTAAACGTTCAATAAATATGTTTTTTAAAGTAATTAGGAAAATCATTAAATTGAAGTCTAGGATTCAAATTACATCTGCATAAGAAAATCACTGATACTTTCAAACTAATCATAAAACATAATTTATCATGTTATTTTCACCTAAAACTCAGTGTCCCTGATATCATCTTGTTTCTGATTAAAATAAAGCAACTAATATTCATTGCAATATTTCCAACCACATAAAATAGAGTATCTTTATAAGGCTAATCTAAAATTCTTAGATTTCACTACGTTTGATTTCTGTATCCAAGACCTAAAGAATTTGCAGAAAAATCTGACACTTTATCCTGTAAACAGTCTGTTTTTAATATGAATTTCCTTATAAAAATTGTTTACAGTTGCTAAAATAGCTATTTTATATTCATAAGAATTACACAAGTGGACAGGCATAAGTTACAGAAGGAGATGGACTAGTAGATATTATTTCCCAGAGAAGGCATTTATTTTCCTGAAACAGTATTTCAACTTGGTGACAGGAAATCCTGCAGGTTGCATGTGTTAATTTAAAGGGTTTAAAACATAAAGCTATACTCCTATAGCGGGGCATACTTTTTTATATTTTACAAGTAATTTTAATTAGCTGTTCTGCCTGTAAAACTAGTAAAATTGAAAAAAAAAAAAAACCAAACAAACCACCAAACGATTCATTCAGATTCATTCACTCCTATCTGATGCTTTGCTGTACTGCCTAACAATTCAAGGTTGGACCCACGATATGATCTCTGAAGCTTCCACTTGACTCTTAGTTCATTCCACCACATTTACTTTGCTCAAGTAGCCTTACAGTTAGATCAGCATACCTTCAGAGTTCAGCGTAATAAGCGTGACATTGTTCCCAATACTTTGGCTTCCTAATTGTCCACTGTTGGAAACTGAGTCACTGGCCTCAGAGCCACTCTCTCCATCTTCATTGTGACTGTCGTCATGCCCTGGAACTTTCACCACTATGGTGTTCTGCCTACGTCCAGGAACGGCGCTATGGAAGAGAAAAGTACGTAACTTTGGGAAAACACAATCCTTGATCAGGTATAGCATCATCAGAAGGGAATTAAAAACACTAATTGGCAAAATTAAGTGTATTATAAAAGCATACTCCTTTAAACAAGCCTACTCCTGTTTATAACTCAGAGCTATCCAGCAAAATAAAATGGAAGGAAAATAGCAGAGGAAATAAATTTTTACATGCACACTTTCTAAGTTTACATCAATGGAAAAGGCTAGGCCCAGTGTGCAAAACAAAAAAAATACTTAAATCGTTTATAAAAAATTTAAGAACATTTTCTACCCAGAATCTCCACTTCCACTTAATTTAAAATTTGTTTTAGATAATACAAATTCTAACAAGCCTTCCTGGGCTGCTGCATATTCCTTCTTCAGTTGGTTAAATACAGGATCTTGGCATGCTCCCAAGTGATCGTGCATCTGTGTGAAAAATATGTGGCTACGGGCACTCTTTCTTTCAACTGTCAGCTGTCAACTAAGATTGAACTAATCCCAGATCCTCCAAGATGTTCTCTCCCCATCGAGAGTGAAGCCCTCTGATACGAGGTTTCCCTAGGCAGAGCTGTCAGCCTGATAAAATACTCAAGTACCGGTTCGATGTTTCCCCCCCCACACTATTACCTAGAACATTCCTCATTTTGCACTTCAAATTGCTGCAGAGCCTGAACTGATAGTGATCTGTCAAAGGAGGGAACAAAGGGGGAGGATTCCCGTAACTGCTACTAACTTGCTAAGGATATTTTCCAGAGAATCCGCTGTTCTGCTCAATGGCTCTTCCTGCCCAACCATCTTGGCTACAATTGAATTCTGCCGGTCGTTGTTCAGTATTACTGTGGTCTGAGGGACAACACTACAAGACAAAAATCAGAGAGGAAAATGGAATGTAAAGGAGCAAACCTTATAAATAATACATTAACACAGTCTTATGGTTTAAATAGTCTACTTAAAAACAAGAGACTGCCTCTAAGCCTAGCTCCTTCTCCCAGCATCACGGTTATGTATCAAATGCTAAAGCTGGTAATCCATCTAATTTGACATCTGTACCATTTCAAGTACTCAAAATTCTTTCAGAGGATGGATGGCTTCAATGGAATTATATAAAAGTCCACGACCCCTGGCAAAGCGATAAAGAATTCATCAACTCAAGATACACAGGAGGTAGCCTGTAAATCACAGCTCCAAAGAGCCACCAAATTCTTGTTTTGAAAAGTCTGAGCATTTTCAGAGATATTACGGCCAACTTACATGGTAATGCACCATTTTTAGTAGGATAATTCCCAGGGGGAAAAAAATGTAAAAGTATTTATTGCAAATTGGATGACGAGCTTAGTTAAAAAGCGCGCATCGTTTTCCAGGGCTGGGGGCTTTTGGAGGGCGGGGAGCCGAGAGTGGTACTAGGGGCATCAGAGCAGAACAGGGACAGACTGTAACTTTAAATAACAAGGCTCAACTATTCCTTGTGTGCATTTCACATACAAAAAAGTCTAAAACAAACAACAGAAAAGCATTTAGTGTGTGAGAAACCAGAAAGCCTTCTCTGTCACTTACGATGACAATGCAGAAGGGAATAACTAGAGGTGTTGCACAGAAAAATGCACTAGGTCTACGCTATAACACAAAAGTAAATACGAAGTAAATAATTGTCTCCAGCATGCAGCTTACCATTTAATTTGGTTTCAGAGATTACTACCATTATTCCCACACCATTATTCAATCTTGTGAGGCATGGGTTTGATATTTAAGACTGTTTCCACTGTGCTCATGGTAAACTTAAGGAGAGAGCTTAGAAGAAAATTTGTGCTTTAGTGACAGAGAAGGCTTTCTTCTTTCTCTTTGCTTCCCACAGTAAGTAGTCCACTATTGTTCTTACTGGTCCGGCATCTCAAACATGACTGATGGTCATTTATTTTTCCTAACTGTATTCCTTGGCTAATTGTTGAAACACAAATGAAACAAATCTGATGACAGCAACTCTGTTTATTTCAGCTGTAATACAGCGCCTGCTTGCTTGAGTATTCATGTGTCTACACAAGGCTTTAAGCGCTACAATATCCATCATTAAGACCTAAAGAAAAGATAAGAAACTGTCATAAGAGCTAACAATAAACGGATCTCAACTTTGGCACAGATACAATGGTTGAACACAGGTTTTTTGGATACAGAAAGCCCCAGGGCCTAATGCCCTGCCTCCCTCTTACAGTAATTCCATCTGTTGCTAGCAACACATGGGATTCCTCGTGGACTGCCAATGATCTGTTGGATTGCAAACCTTGAGAAGCTCGGGAGGATGTTTGTCTAATCATAGACAAGTACAGAGTGTACTATAGCTTTTCATGTGTATGCGAGGTTCGAACTGCATTAAGCAATAAATGGATGTTTTCTGTTGGGTTTTTTTAGTTGCTATCTAGAGTATAAGGGTTTATGATGCTTTCATAGCCACCTTTTCAAAATCTCCATTATCAAGAAGAAAAAACCCCACACAGTTTTTAATTTAAAAAAGACAACTTCTATTTTCTCAATGTCAGCACTGCATGTTTTAAAAAAACCCCACCAAATACTTGATAAAATAGCGATACATGGCAATGTTGGCAGTCCCCCAGTCTAGAAGCAATATGTGTTCTTGTTACATTTTCCAAATTGTCCAAATAGCTACATTTGAAGTTTTTACAGGCCAATTTAAAATATTCAAGGATTTTACACTTCCTTTTAGACACTGTTCTTTATCACCATCTTTCCTACAATAACTTCTGAACGCCTGTTTAAAATGTCACTTACCAAAGCTTATTTTTAATGAACACTCTGAATAATTAATTTCAGCTGTAGAGATAAATGCAATAAAATTACATTTAGAAAGTCCTTAGGATTTTGCTCCTATTAAGTTTATATTTCAAAAAGTCCTAGCACTAAAACTTGACACAAAATAAGGAAGAGGTGGGGGGGGTTGCCTTTTTTCCTTTTTTTTTTTTTTAAAAGAATATTCAATTTTAAGGAAGACAATCTAGAGAGCGAGACAGATGCCATATAGCAAATTTAAGCAAATTTAGCATAGGGAAATACTTTTATACAACCCTCCAGCACAGATTTATCCCCTCTTCAATGCATCAATGTTTGTTCAAGCTTGCTTACTTCAATGCCTAAACTTTTTTTTTTTTCCCCAAATTTATTGCTATACAAACACCCAAGAAAACACTGACTCCTCCCTAAGAGCTCCCTAACTTTTCCCAGTTAGTAGAGTGGATTATCAACAGAAAAAAAATCTACCTTCACGGTTGTTTTGGGAGGAGCCACTAACCAAACATCCCGTGTTACTGACACGTATTTTCCTGGCTACACAGCACAAAGGCAAAACCAGACACCACATACACATGGAAAACCTCTCTAACAAGCCACAACTACCACCAAATTGTCTATCAATTGTTTTACATTTAGAAATGAACTGTTATCAAGTTGTAAGGACTCAAAGAATCTATAAAGCGGTTTGGAGGGAAAACAGAGTCACACTGAAAGCACAATGCTAGAGAAGAGCTAAAACAAGCATTTGAAAGTGTTCAACGCAGCCCAACAAATCTCCAAACGCCAATTAACCTTTCCCTGTGATTAACCTGCCTGAGTAGGAACTCTACTTCGAGTTTGAAAATAACTGAATGAAGTTTCTTGTCTATTACCGGGAATCAGTAGTGTTGGATGAAGGGTTATTTCTGTGTTCTGTATCTACTAACACAAAGACCCCAGTAAAACTCACTCAATTATTTTTCTGTCTTAAAGGAGAAGGAATTTCTTATGTTTAATGCTTAACTCCTGAAGAATGATGCTTTCAAAAGCAGTCTGCATGAGGAGGATGAGGTAACCTTTCCATTCACAACGTCGTAAATGTTAACCAAGAAACTACAGTCCTGGTCCATGTTCTACACAGAACAAGAACAGCTACAGAATTTGCTGACAAATTCCGACAATGAGGCGTCAGAAGGCAGAAATTTTTCAGAGCTGATGCTGTGAAACTTGAACAGTTACTCATCTGGAAGAAAAAGAAAATAACAATTGGGACTAATACAAAAAGGCGCCATTATGCTCGAAAAAGGAGAGTTTCACAGGATTGTCTTAGACTCCGATTTGTACACAGGAGGAATGGATATCCACAAGATTCCCTGCAGATAAGGGAACATGCTTCCCATTAATTTTCCTGTGAGAATCCTTCTCTGTTTTCAGATTTATTTAATTATTTTAAAGAGACAACAATAAGAAATCTGCTGAATATACATGAAATTAAACAAGGAATTCTATGTAAATTCAAAATATTGGGCCAACCTGACAAAATCCATCAGAGGAAATCATTAAAACTTACTACGGCCTAGCGCATCCTCATACTGGATTATTCTAATTTTTTTTTTTCACTCTGTCCATCTCATACTGAAGATGAATCAACTGGAATCATTACTTACATACTAAAATACAGAAAACAAAAATCACAAAGAGGGAGGAGGAAGGCTTCAACTCAGATCCCAAATGAAGCAATTCTTTCTATGAGCGCTGCCAGTACTATACTGATGGAGAAGATGGAAAGAAAATATTAAGAGAGGTCAGGGGGAGTGCTTCAGAAACCCAGTGTCGTTGCACAGGCTTCAGTACTTTCCATTTGCGTTCACATATTCCTTTCCCCGTAAGCATTAGAACTTGGAGAGACTGGTTCTGCAATTTGCCTATTCCTGGACACAACTTAGTAAAAAAATGAAAATGCATGTAATCTACAGGTATTATTGTATCTTGGGACTTTTTTTAAAATGCCATTTACCAAATAGTCTGGTAAATTACAGGTGAAAATATTTCTAAAGAAATAAACATACCAGATAATGATTTTCAACTGTGCATATTTAGCCTCTGCCCGTTTTTTTAAAATATGAAAGGATGTTCTATATTTTGCATAAGAAAATTGCTGCCAAAGGTAATTTTCAGTATGGAAAACGTGTGACTCACAGATATGATCATTAGTCTTAACTGTTGGGGTCTCACTGCCAATAACGTGTCAATCACACGGAATGCAGCCAATGACATAAAAGAACTTTTGGCAATACCAGAACCATCATCTCCTCCTCTTCCCAGATGAGGTTTTCATTTAGAAAGGAGAAAAATAAAGCAAAAGGAACTAACTGACATTTCTATCTTCCGCGAGGTACAAGATCAAAAGCGTTTCTCCAAATGGATGAAAATTACTTGTGGAAAAACTGGGACTGAAATTTTCAGGCAAGAAGTTATTCTTCTTGTTTTCCATAGACCAGCTAATGGAATATTTATAGCAGTGCTCAACCAGTTAAAGAAAAGAAAGGAGGAGTCCTCCGTTTAGACCGTTCCTGAGCCTCCTTTGCACATGTGAACATCTGCAAATAGGTAAATAAGAGCTTGGAGGCAGAGCTCAGCTTAGAGACACTCAGCTCACCGCAGCCACACGAATGGCTGTCTCCTGGCTACAGAATACGCTGTGGTCACTACAACGCCCACGCGGTGTGTGCTGCTCATCTGGAAGGCGGCGCTCCCGAGGCTACCATTCTCATCTTCCTCTAGTGTCCATATTGGAAGGAGATGCAGAAAGAGAGGAGATCAGGAAGGCAGGAGCTGGAGTTACTGCTGGCAGACTGCTCGTACTAAAGGTCTCCAGCCAAACACAGCCTGTAGGAAAGCAAGTGTGGGAAAGAGACCTTGAACTGCAGTATTCTCCAGCTTACTGCTGGGGCCGAACATGAAGACTTAAATGTATAGCTCATGCATTGGGGGGGGTGGGGGAATATTACAGTTAGCCCCACCATGAAGAAAATCTAAATGTTTTTCAAATGATATAGAAAAATACCATTTTAAAAG